GCACACAGATCCTCACAGTAGCTATTTCAGATTAGATGATATCAGCAGGAAGCCTCACCTTCCTGGCGACACCGTCAATCCAGTCTGTCCTTCCGCTTTCGGGTCAGACGTAAACCCAAAGTCTTGATCATCTGCCGGGCGGTAACGCGGCTACATCATTCTACAACACCTACAACACCTGCGCGCGCGCGTGAGAAGAAGAAGAAGAGAAACGTAACCAGATAGAAGAGGAGGATGATCCTGCTTACAGAGTGATATATATACTATCCATACATTGTATAATGATATTACCCTCGACTGTCGACTCTCACACACCCTCACACGCTCAAGAAACCCCCGTCACTCTGTGGATTTGTCAGATGACGTCGAACCCAAACCCCCCCCCCCCCCCCCTAAAATAAAAAGTGACGTCCTCACATGATGAGGCGTTCCCCAACTTCCTCCCAAGGCTGACGGGAGTGGCTTTCCCCCCCCTTTTTTTCTTCTTCGGTCTAATGATGAGGACCATGGGTGAAAGGCGCAGAAGAAAAAGTGCATTCGACGACGACGACGACGACGTCAGCCTCGTGGGCAAATTTAGGGTGTGTGACCTCCAACAGCAGCCATCATGGACCTCTTTTTGTCCTCGTCATCATCATCAATCATCGTCACACGGGTGTGAACACAGACCCTCCCCCGATACTTCCCATGACTCTGTCCACTTTTGGTCAGCCGCATGAACTGCATCTCTTCTTCCCCTCCCTCTCTATGTGCCCTCCCCACCATCAGAGTCGACGGCAAGATTAGAGGGACGGGTTCCTGACATGGCGGCTTCTCCTCACCTCTCCTTCTTCCCCCGTATCCCCATCATGTATACGAGGTGAATGTTTCGACCTTCACTTGAATATGCATGAACCCATGTAATCTGCATCCCATGTACTGCACATCACCACTAGACGTGCGAAACCAATGACTTTTTTTTTTTTCTTTTTTTTTTCCTCCAAGGCGTTTTGCCTGTCTCTCTCTTCCATCCATTACATCTTTCATTTGCAAAATCTTTCATTCCATTCTCGCTTCCCTCTCCTCTCTCGCTTTTATCGTCTCCTAGTAGGCTTCGTGACTAACCTGGTACTATGACTTGTAAAAGGGAAAAGAACCAGACCCATGGTCTTTTTTTCTTCTTTTTTTTTTTCAACCTCATCCTATGCAGGTGCCTCGTGCGCAGAAAAAGGTGAACCATCCTTTCCAAACGGTTGGTTTCATACCACCCCCCCCCCCCCACCTTTCTCTTCTCCTTTCCCTTGTGGCTTATGAAGTATGCTGCTTCTAGAGGGAATCCCTGTTGGTTTCTTGCGCAACCGCTCTTGAACTTTTTTCTTTTCATTTTTTTTATTACTACGTCCTTGATCAGCTGGTGAGACTATGGAAGGGAGGAATGTATCGCTTGACCCGTAGGGATGGCCTTGCTAGGCAGCACAGGAGAGACTTGGAAGAGAGAGAGAGAGGGAGGGAGGGAGAGCAAGAGGAAAGAAAGTGATCCGTATAAGTGCTTTCCATGGCCATAGTACAGTCCAGAATGATTTTGCTCTTCTCTCTCTCTCTCTCTCTCTCCCCATCTCCCACTCACATACACACATACACACACACACACACACTCTCATATATATTGACCAGAGAATCGACATACTGTAGAGTGCTCACTCAAAAGACCTGCCAGAGACTGTCGCCAACCTGGGTTCCCATAACAGTCGTGTCGAACAACCGGGTGCCGCCGCCGCCACCGCCGCCGCATCTCTCACCATGCATCAGAGGTACCGCCTCGAGAGGACGGTCGACGGATCGTTCCGGTGGGTCAAGGTCAGGCACCGTCACCACCACCACCGCCACCACCACCACACCCACGTCGGCTACCACCACCGCCACCCCCCCCGGGACCACCGCTACCGGGCAGACGACCCCCCGCACTACAGGATCAGCGTGGAGGAGTGGGACAGGGTCAAGGAGCGCGAGCGCCTCCTGGACGAGGACAACCGCCGCCTCTCGGCCGACAACGACATCCTCCGGGCCGACCTGACGGCCGCGCAGGGTGAGGTGCACCGGCTGTCGACGTGCGTCGTGCCCGAGCTCGAGAAGAAGAACGAGACCCTGTCCGCCGACAACCAGGGCCTCCGCCAGACGGTCGACAAGGCCGCCGACCAGGCAGCCAAGTACCAGGCCGACCTGGACGACGCCGGGCAGAGGGCCGACAGGCTCGAGAGGGAGAACAACGATCTGGGCGCGGCCAATGCCGAGCTGAGAGAGAGGGTGCGCGAGCTGGAGAGGGACCACCACCACGACGATCGTCACCGTCACCACGTTCCACTGGTCCGCGACCTGAGGTACTGGAGGGATGAGGCGCACTTCTGGAGGGCCAAGTTCGACGCCCTCGTCAAGAAGCACAATGACATTATCGAGGTCCTTGCCCTGCGCACCAGGCGCATGGAGTCGTATGAGGATATGCTCAAGATGAGAGGGATCATATAGACTCGTCTTCCTTCCGTCCCATGCCTTTCCTCCGTATCCATCTCGAATGCATCTTGCATGGGGGTAAGGGGGAAGGGAGAGAGGGGGGAGGCCTTTCCCACCCGTCATTCCTTTTTCTTTTTCTTTTTCTTTTTTTCTTTTTTTTTTCTTTTTTTTCTTTTTTTTCTTTTTCTTTTTTCATTTGTGCGTTTGTTTTGTTGTTGTTGTTGTTATTGTTTGTTCAGTTTTCTTTCTCTCTTCATCATTCTGTCGGTTGTCGAGGTTCTGTCATCGGTATAGACGAGGAGGAGGATTCAACAGCACCGATAGGAGTAGCAGCACCGTAAATATATGCACTGACACGAGCACTGGCACGAGCACTGGCACGAGCACCGGCATCATCAGCAGCGTGACCGGTGGCGGGATCGAGCCCGCCAGCCCCGACGGACAGCGTCGAGGCAGCACGCTTGAGCTTCTGCCTGTCGTTGTAGATGTCCTTTGGTGTGAAGAAGGTCGGGCTGCCGGCGACGTCCTGCATGATGGAGCGCATGTCGCTGGCCTTGACGGACCCGTTCTTGACGAGGCGGTCGGCGAGGCTCCTCTGCTCGGCGGTGCGCCTCCGATGGATGGCGTGGGCGCTGGGGTCGAGCGAGGGCGGGTGGTTGTGGCTGCCCCGGCAGTCGTACACCCACAGCCAGCCGAGCTTCTGGCTCGTCTTGGCGCTGATGGCGACGGGGCAGTCGGTCTTGGCCGTCGTGGCCTGGCGGATGCCCCGCGCGCTCGAGGGCCGGCTGTGGCCGCGGTCGCAGATGAGCCAGTACTGCGTGACGGTCGACACGCCGTCGACCATGCGCCTGTTGCCGGAGCGGCGCTTGACCAGGGCCGCGCCGTTGTCGCGGTGGAAGCCCTGCAGGAAGGCGAAGAGGGCGTCGAAGGAGGAGAAGGTCTGCGACGGCGGCGGAAGGGGTATCTCCACGCTCGTCGGGTCGAACTCGGCGTCGACCGAACCGTCGTCTGGCATGCTGCTCATATCACGTATCAGCGCGGAAAGGGCGGAGAGGTGGAGAGTGCAAAGAACTGTGATCTCTGACGGAATCGGGAACAAGGGACGGGGGAGGGGAGGGGAGGGGAGGGGTATGATGTAGTATTATTATTAGTTTGTGAGTTCAAACACAAAGAGATATATATATATATATATATATATGTGTGTGTGTGTGTGTGGACGTATATGTATATATATATATATATATATATATATATATTATAGCAAATATATGAATAAGAAAGAAGGAAAACAAAAGAAAAAAAAAGAAGAAAAACCGAAAAAAAAAACCGAAAATTTAGATGATAAAAGTGAATGGTGAGCGAGGTGAGGATGACGATGATGAGTTTCTGTTGGGCAATTCACGTGATAAGGGAGGGGGACCAAATAAAGAGAGGTACAGTGGTAATAATACACCTGCATCCGGTATTGCAGAGTGTATGAGGATAAAATGCATCATCATCATCACTTCTTATTCAGATACGCATCGACTGCTCTCTGCTTTGCATGCAAAGTAGCGTCGTACAAGTCGGAGCAACAGATTATGATCACGTCTTTCCTTTCAGAGGTGTAGAAGGGAAAAAAGAAGAAGAGGAAGAAGAAGAAGGAGCATCGTACTGGCAGTCCTCAGATGCGTCAGATGAGTATCATCAATCAATACCTGACAATCCGTCTAGGCCCCTCCAACCCCTGGCCACAACAGCTTCCTCGAGTATGTACGAGTGCAGGCTATTGCCATCCATTGCGTTGATGGATCCGCATGCGCTCTCAGGCTCTCAGCGGTCGCGTGTGCATATCAAGTCTGTCGACGAGGTACCGCTTCTCACGTGATGATGTCGCAGCAAAATATCATCATATGATAGCAATAGTATCCGTCGGCTCTTTCCACGTACACGTAACGATTCGAGCCGCGACGAGAGAGATTACCTCGCAGACAGCATCCGGTTGATGAGGCACCATGCCATCTTCGCTCCCGTATCACGAGCCGTCGATCGAGACGATCCTCATACAGTCGTCCCTTCTCCTGCTGCTCAATGCGGTGAACCACATCCTCGACTCCGTCATCTACGCCGGTCTGGTCGGCCAGATCCTGGTGGGCATAGCCTGGGGCATGCCGGGGGGCCAGATGCTAGGGTTGAACGCCCAAGAGGTGGCCGTGCAGCTGGGCTACATCGGCCTGATCTTGATCGTCTTTGAAGGTACTGACCGATGAACGACCTCCTCCCCTCCCCAGCCCCTCAAAACCCTCCCCCCAAAAAAAAAAAAAAAAGTCCCGACTCTGAGAACGTGGAATTCGATTAACCCGACATAGGCGGCCTATCCACCGACCTCTCCGCCCTGAGAACCAACATCTGGCTCTCGACGTGCGTCGCCGCCACAGGTGTGGCCGTCCCGATCGGCCTGTCATTCACGCTCCCGTCCCTGGTCGGGGGGACGAGCCAGCTGCAGGCCTTCGCGGCGGGGGCGGCCCTGTGCTCCACCAGCCTGGGCACCACCTTTACGCTCCTGGCGACGAGCGGGCTGGGCTCGTCCCGGCTGGGCGTGGTGCTCTCGTCGGCGGCCATGATGGACGACGTCGTCGGCCTGGTCATGGTGCAGATCATCTCGGACCTGGGATCCGGGCCCGACGTCGAAGCCGCCACCGTCGTACGACCCGTCCTGACCTCGCTGGCCTTCGCGGTCGTGCTGCCCCTCGCGTGGGGCTGCGCCGTCGTCCCGGCCGCGCGCCGTCTGCGTCTCGTCGCCGGGGGCGGCAGGCTCGCCGGGCTGGCGGACCACGAGCACCTCCACCTCGCCGCGCTCACGGGGACGCTGGTGGGCGTGGTCACGGGGGCTACGTACGCCGGGTCGTCGCCGCTGCTCGGGGCGTACGTCTCGGGCATCATGGTCTGCTGGTGGGATCGGGAGGCTGCGCAGCGTCGCGGCCCCGGCCGTCGCGGTCAGTCCGGTGCCGGCGGGGAGCATCCCCCCGGTGGTGGACACGGTCAGGTCGGTGTCGACGCGGCCGGGACGAGGGGCCGGGACCGGGACCGGGAGCGACACGTCGCATCACCATCCAGCAGCGCGGCCATCTTTGGAAGATACTACGAGCCCGCTCTCCGGAGGGTATTCAGACCACTCTTCTTTGTAAGTCGGGCGTCCTTCTCTCTCTCTCTCTTTCTTCTTCTCTCTTTCCTCCTCTTTTTTCTCTACTTTTTTCTCTACTTTTTTCTCTACTTTTTTCTCTACTTTTTTCTCTACCTTTTTCTCTACTTTAACTCATATACCTGATTTGTAAAGGAAAAAAAAAGGAAAAAAAAAAAAAACTAACGCTCACCCGAATCGTGCATCCAGGCCTCGGTGGGCTTCTCCATTCCCATCACAGAGATGTTTACGGGGGCCATCGTCTGGCGCGGAGTCGTCTACGCGATCCTGATGGGGATCGGCAAGATGGTGTGCGGACTGTGGCTCCTCCTCCGAATACCCCGTCCGTCGGCCAAGCTGCAGCACCTGGCCCAGGTTGCCAGGAGCAGCTTGATGCGCATCGCCTTCTCCTCCCCGCCTCCCTCTACTTCCCCTCCCCCCCCCTCCCCTTCTAGCCTCCGTCGCCGTCGCCGCCGAGCCACGGCCGAGGGCGAGGCGCAACCACGGCGGCGCGGTCAGCGTCCAGGGAGGTCCGACGAGGAGGAAGAGGGAGAGGAGGAGAAGGATTCTCTGTCAGTGTACCCGGGTCTCATGATGGGTTCGGCCATGATGGCTAGGGGAGAGATCGGCTACCTCATCTCGTCCATTGCCGAGGGCGGAGGCGTCTTCGCCAGCAGCGGCAGCAGTGCTGATGCCGATGCTGCTTCAGGGGACGAGGTGGACGGGCCGTCAGACCTCTTTCTCGTCGTCACCTGGGCCATCACGCTGTGCACCGTGGTGGGGCCCATCGGCCTGGGATTTCTGGCCAACAGAGTGCGCAGGTTGGAGAGGGAATCATCGGGTAGCGATACCGGTAGGACGAATGTCCTCGGCCGATGGGGGGTTGACGGCGGCGGCGGCGGCAGCAGCAGCAGCAGCAGCAGCAGCAGTTGACTCTGCTCGAGAGCCTCTCCTCATCCGTTTATAGCCAGATGAAGAAGGAGAAGAAGGAGAAGAAGAATGGACTGTCTTGCAGATACGATTGCAAGGACGTGACGGGGAAGAGGGCAATGAGTCACATGACCGAAACACAGCCGTACAGGAGACGACGTCCCTAGCCGAGCGAGCTGCTGCTGCTGCACTGCACGGGTCGCCTTGCACGTCTAGTTTTTTTTATTTTTGTTTTATTCTCATTTTTTTTTAGATGCATTTCTCTCTACTATCCTCTCTTTCTCTTTCCGACTATCCATCTATCCATCTCTGTCTGTCTGTCTGTCTGCTCTGCGGAATATTGTACATGATTGCTACCGTATCACATGCACATGCTCATCTTGACACGTGCATTGAGAGAGTCGGTCATTACTACAAGACTGTAGTAATATGACTGACTGTATTGAACATGACTGACTGTATTGAACATGACTACATGACTGTCACATCATCGCTCCGCCGTCTTTTTCTGCGCGCGGGTACGTCACGGAGCAAGGGCTGAGCTCACAATGCCTCCTCACTCCTTGATCTAGGAAAATGGCTCATGCTCTCTCTCTCTCTCTCTCTCTCTCTCTCTCCCCTTTTGATCATGATTTTTCATTTTATTCTATTTTTCTTTGCCGCGTATATGGAAAGTGATAGAAAATAGAATATTGCTTGAAATCTTCCCTCCCCCTCGGACACTTTCCTTTCTTCATGCAGGCATGCCAATCCTTTGGTTTTTAATCCCTGCCACCTTTTCTGTGTGTGTGTGTGTCGTAGCGCCGTTCTTTTTTTTTTTTTTCTCTCTTCTTTTTTTTTTTTCTCTCTTCTTTTTTTTTTCTTACTCTTTATGGCTGATGTCAGCATTTCTCTCCTTTTTTTTTTGGGGGGGGGGGGGGGGG